AAAAAAAAAAAAAAACCCCCAAGCCAGCAATCCGCCGATCCCAAACCCGGCATCAGACAAAGGACAGTTCATCCCATCCTTTTCTCGGGAAGGCACTGGGGGACGCTCGGACAAGCCAGGCTCCCTCCAGCCGCCGCCGGAGCCCCGGGGGTACGCCCGGGCGGGGAGAGGCACCGAGGTGTGCCTGTCTGTGTGTACGGGGACAGTGGGGACAGAAGCACCCCGCTCTGCCCGGGGGGCTCACCAAGGGGCGGGCAGCTGTGGACGCCGGGTGTGCATTGGGGCCGGGGCCACGGCCACGGGGAGCTCCTGCGAGGGGCATTTCCTAACCGGGCCTGGCTACCCTCTCCCGCGAAGGGGTGCCAGGTTCTCCCGGACTTGCCCAACACCACCCCGAGCTGCGAGGAGGAGAAATTAAGCAGGGAGAAGGACCGGCGTGGAAACCGAGCCGAACTGACTCGGCTGGCTCGGAGAGGGGAGCAGTGCCAGAGTCCGGCCAGCGCCGGCAATGCGAATTCCCATCCCTGCCCGGCATCCTGCCTGCCGGCATCCCGCCTCCCCGGAGCTGTTCCTGCGCTGTCCGCCCGAGCCCTGCCGGCCCCTGCAGGTTACCGTAACCAAACAGCCCCGCGGCAGCTCCTCAAAGAAAAGGGTGGGTGGACAGACCTGGGAAATAAGACTTCCACCTCTTGTGTGTCCGAGCCTTTCTGCAAAGGGAAGGGACCTCGGGGAGGGGAGAATATCTTACTGCAGGTTAAAAAAAAAAATAAAAAATGCTTGTCTAGAGGGAAACGAGGAAAAGAACGGAAGAAAATTAAAAGGTTGGGTTGTTTGGTTTGTTTTTTTTCTATTGTTGTTGTTTTTTTTTTTTTTTTCTCCCCAGAATAATAGTATAATATAATAATAGCCATGTATTAAGAGGAAAAAAAAATAATTTTTACTCACTTTTTTGAGCACTTACTAGACACCAGCTCTGGTAAACTGGGCCATTTAACAATTTCAGTGTCTTGTACTGGGTACATACAAATGCGTTCCTAATATAGCCTATGTAAATTTGGCATTCAGCAGTAAAGGTCACACAGTATTTGGATATAGGGAGGACTTGCAAGACAAGGGCTATAATCTAATAAAAGAAATAAGACTGGTGAAAAATGCAAAAAGGTAAAACACTGAGGTCAGACAGTCTGTGTTTTCCTAATTGAAACATTTTCCTTTTAGTATCTACATACCTGAACTGTTCAAATGATGACCCATGCTGAGTTTATCTTTGATTAGGAAAACATTTAAAGGTTTTGCTTTTTGAAAGTGAGACTTATGGTATAGTTCCAAAGTCCTCTCTGTCTCTTAGAGGAATAACACAAGTTAGCATTTATTTAAGAAACAGAACTTCCCTCCACCCCACCTGCCAAAAAAATTGAATAAACTTTTACAGAAAATATGATCTAAATCAGAGGAAATTAAAATTTTCACGCGGGAACGTGGGCCGCCGTGGGGCCCCACGGGTCGGTTTCTGCCGGGGAAAACCCGTGTTTTCTGCTGGGAGAGGGGGTCCACGCTCGGTGCGTGCCACCACGCGAGTGCTCCGCGCCTGTGGGCAGCGCTCTGGCCACCTCGCTGAACCCGTGCCCCCATCCCCTCCCCGGTGCAGCGGGCAGCTGTAGCGATGGCTCTGCCGCCCGGCTTTTTCCCTAAATCGTGTGGATAAGAGATAAAATAAACCAAAACAAACCAAAAGTACCTCTGCAAAGTCCCTCCTTCAGCCGGAGACGCCTCAGGCTTTTACCAGGAGCAAGGGGAGCGGGGCCCTCTTTTTATCCTTTTCTCATATTTAGTGGCTCCCTTTGACGGAAACGTAATTTGTATAATTAGCCGAGCGCACACGGGCGACTGATGGGCTGTGGAGTGTGCAGCTCTCGACGCTAATTGCTCTCAGGAAAGGATTCAGGGCGGCTTAAGGCGAGAGATTTGCTTTCTAGCGTTAGGATGGATGGGCAGCTTTCACTCCAGCTTAAATCACTGCGCGGTAAAGGTGTACGCGGTCCTGCAAAAGCCCCTTTTCCAGCGGGGACGGAGCATCGCCGCCCCCCGGCTCGCCCGTGGGGACCTACAAGGGTCAGATTTTGCCAACGTGCCCGGGCTGAGGTGGCACGACACGGCACGGCACGGCACGGTGACTGAACGTGAGCTCCCAGGATCGGGCCCCTCAAAAATCCCTCTTTCCTTGGTCGCTCTCTGCAAGCAAATTGGTATTATTATTTTTTCCCCCCTCTAATTAATAGGAGAAGGGGTAATTTGGAAGCGTTTCTCGTGGTCGAAATAATTTTATTTTATTCAGAATATACAGTTTAATTCCTCTATCTACAATTATTTACAGGGTTAAAATAACATTGAAAAAAAGTCTCTGGAAAAGTTGAGGTCATAGATTTCAAGGCACCATTGATAGTGTCCACAGCTGAGCCAAAAAATGTCCGTATTGTATAAAAAAGGGTTTCCTTTGAAATGCAATAAGTTACATGCACAAGCTTTACACATTTAATCTTTTTGTTTGTTTCTTTTCCCTTTTAAAAATCCCCCATATGCATTCCTTTCGTTATTATTCCTTAACAGTAAAACATGGGAGTCCAAGGAACAACAAAAAAAAAAATTAAAAAAATAAAATAATAAGGGTCAGACTCTAATAAATTGTCCCAGAGGCCAGCGCTAACGGGTGCTGTAGGGAGCCGTGGGGTTGGAGGTGGGAGTTGATGGAGTTGGCAGCGGGGTACCAGGAAGCGGAGCTCTCCAGGTAGCTGGATGCAGGGGACGGGTTGGAGTTTGGAGGGTGACCGTGTGCGTGGGCATGGTGGCTGAGAGAGCGGGACGAGCCCTGAGGTTCCCAAACCGCAGGTGACTGTGGAGAGTTGCAGGCCATGGGGTCGCTGGAGCTGGGGCTGTGCTCCGGAGGCATCTCCCCGTTCTTCATGATCTTCTTGATCTTGGATCTTTTATTCTGAAACCAAATTTTCACCGGGGAGGGGGGCGGGAGGAGAGGGGAGAGGAAAGAAGGAGTAGGGGGAAGGGAAACCGACACCATTAATGCCCGCCTGGCAACCCGGCGCTCCGCGGCTGCGATGGGACCCGCTCCCCGCCGCCCTCCCGGACCC